GTGTGTGTGCGTGTGTGTGTGTGTGTGTGTGTACACATGAATATATGTATGTATATGTATGTGCGACAATATGTATGAATATCGACGGGTACATACATACTAAAATTTAATCCGCATTTATACCTTTGCATGTTTATGGACGTGAGTATTTTGCACATCGGTGATATTTCGTGAGTAGTGTGTAAATATATTATAAAGAAAGAAACACACCCGTCCGATAAATAGCCTCTCAATCGAATTACGAGTGACTTTTGACTTGAGCGAATATACCCTAACAGAAACTGCCACCATGAAGGTATATTTGCATTGACAATAGCACACACATTCTTGCTACGCGCAGCCCAATAATATGTATGAGTATGCCTTACCTCGCCCATCATGGTGAAATGCTCTCCCAGCATGTGTGTCAGAATGAGTGAAACTGTCACGATCGTCACAATCAGCCAATTTGGCACACGTGGAATGTATAAGGACATCCATTGTTTCCACTTACACCAGTCCCAGCTTCGGACGACCATCTTTGGTAGTAGCCGTTTTTGATTATGTATTAACCTACCCCGATCACCTCAAAGTGCCAGTTTGGTAAAGTTACAGTTTTTGTTAATATCGTACAGCGTATAGGTTCTGATCAGTGTCGAATTTTCTTTTCTTGTTGGGAAATAGTGTACAGGTTACGGTTTAGTATCTGTACTCGCTATTTTATATCACTGATGTAATAAGTACAGCAGGCTTCAAGTCCAAGACCTAATATATTCATTCTCAAACAATAAAGCGTGAAAACTGTGAAATTGTCATACAATTGTTTTTTTTTACAAAAATCAATACAATATTCTAAAATAAAATAAAATATGCGCAATTGTGCAACTCTCTCTCTTTGTGAGTTGTAAATATAAAGTATACATAAATACCGCTTCTTGTGTACACACATACATATTTTTGTTATCACTTTATGTATCAGTATCTATCAAAAGTTCAACCCCCTGTGAACAGTTAGTGACTATTTATGATACTGAGTCGGCATTGGCCTATAGATTACTCCAAAAGTAGTAAATAGAAACACACATATTTCTCAAGAAATACAACTTTCAACAAACACTGACCAAGCCCGCTCGGCCGGCCCAGCCCAGGCCCAGGGCCCCAGTGAGCCCACCCGGTCCAGAACCAAACCCGATATCACTATTATAAAAATATAAAAATAACTCTAGATATAGATTCTATTGGTAGTAAACTCGTCCAGAGAGATCAGACTTACCAAAAGATACGTAAAGAATGTCAGGCTTGGCCTTACAAAGTGATCTCATTAGTCAATGAGGTCAAGGGCATATCAAGGTCTGTAATATATTGAGTTTTTTACTGAAATAAGTAGTCAAACTTTACTGCGTCATATCTTAGAACCGCTTTTGATTGATACGATTTCAGCCCTTCACCACCTCAGAGAGCCAAGAACAATCTTTAAGCGCCTTGATCTATTGGTTGATAGCCAATACAGCCATTTACTGGCTTGTTATCGGCACAAACATCCAACTAGCTGAAGTACTACTGCACTTTATGTATGTTCTACCATGCGTAAATGCTAAACCCTAACCCTAAAACAAATAATAAAATTATCTGTATTAGTGATCAAGGCAACACTACTAATTGATGTGTCAATTATTGATGACTCGGTCACTAATATGGGGTGTCTTTGTGCGTGTGTGGTGTGCGTGTATGTGTGTGTATAGTGTGTGTGAATGTGACATGTATTCGTATATAAATACAAATAAAAATAAAACATATTCATGCTATTGATCAATGCAACACTAGCATTTGATGCATCA